GTATCTCGGAAAAACATAAAACTCTAGCTTTTATTGCTTTGTTGGCACATTTGCCTCCTTCCATGGTTACTCTCCTTTCAACCCAAATAAGGACCAGGAAAAGAAGATAGGAAAAGGGTGAAAGCTAGAGGAGAAATTTTGGTTTAAACAGCCGAGCGTGTGGTCCCACTGTTTATGTGGCATTGGGAAAGTCACATCTGTAAATGAAGGTGTTCCCTTCTAACACAGATGATTCTGTCCTCATCTCTCATGTCTTCTTTTTTATTTAAAGATTTTTATTGGGGAATTGGGGGGATGGGAACACTGCTGGGGAATTGGGGGAAGGGGAACAGACAAGTTGCTGTCGTTTTGTTCTTCAGTCTAGTTGTGGAGGACGCTGCTTCACTGGCCCAAGCTGGCACCATCATTGCGCTCTTCCCGGGTGAGGCAGATCAGTTGCTGGCTTCTGGACGGCCGCTCACTAAAGCTGCTGGCCGCTCACACTGGCTGCTGGCTACACACGGTAGCCCATGGCAACCCACTGCAGCAGGAGCTGCAGCCTACACCATCGCTGGCGACTCACAGCAGCCCAGCTCCAGGTTGAGCTGTTGTTCAGCATCTTAGCTGTAGAGGGCAGTGTCACTGGCCCTCATATGTGGGATCTGAACCGGGGCCCTCTGGCATCCCAAGCCAGTTCTTAACCATCGCGCCACTCGGCCGGCTCTCTCATGTCTTTTTAACTCTGAGAGGGGAGGAAGGCAGAGATTATTGTATCTATAGGCCATTTTAGTTACCCCTGACAACTCCCACCCCTCCTCCAAGAACCTGGAAATACCATTGTCATCCTAGCCTTCTCAGCGTTAAACTCTAAATCAACATGTAATGAGAGGTTTCCAGGCAGACTAGATTGACTGAAGGTATAAACATATCTAAAAAAGGAATGTGTTGATCTGAAGGGAAAAAGAAGGGTCAGCCTTAGAGGCAAAGAAAGGAACTGCTAAGAGAATACTGGCCACATCTTTGAACACTGTCTGGAAGAGACCAGCGTCGTATGGGAAATTGTGGAGATGGATGCAGACGACTAACAAGGCCTGATGCCATTCTGCTTTCAGGTTATAAAACTAACTTCTCTGGATTCCAAACTCTCCAGGTACCTTTTGATCACCTGCCTTCCCATGTACCTTGTTTCCAGGGAGTGAATGTGCTGGTCAGGCTGACATGCCTGTTGGGCCCACTCACCATCTGGTCTCATGCACAAGCCTCTGAGAGCTTGTGGATCCAAATCAGCCTTTCTGAGATGATTTTTGGATGCGATTGAGTTTCTGAGTCTCTCATGATGAGACTGGCCTCAGGGTCATAGTGCATTCACCCAAAGGAGACCTGTCTGTGAAGCCCCTCCTCACTGCACAGCTTTATCCAACTTCAGCTGCACCAACGTCACTGAGGAGTAAAATCCAGGGTAGGTCCAGGTCTATTTACTTCTTCATTCACTACTTCCTTCATATCATCCCAAACTGTATATGCTGAGTATCTTTATTCTCATTTTGCTCTCACCACTAATTCAATCAACATTATATAGTGGTAATAAAAGCTTCTATTTATTGAATCTTCTGCATGCCCAACAACCCCACTGAGAAGGCATTATTGTCCCATTCTACAGATGGGACAACTGGGGATCAGAAGAAGCTAATTATGGCTACCAGGCAAGAGAGCTGGGATTCAAATCTATGTCTGTCTACCTCTAAAGCTTGTGTCTGATTGTTATTATTTTAAAAATTAAGCTGCATGAGACTAGGGAGACTTCCCAGAACAAGACTATAGTATCCTCGGTGTGTTTTCTAAGAGTTCCTTCATTCCGAAAGTGGACATCAGGACTTTATTTATTGAGGTCAAGAATAAGAATCTGCTTTGATTGGAGAAGGCAGGCAGCCTGGTAGTTGTGCCTGGTTAGAGGAGGAGAATTCTATCAAGGCCCTGGGGTGTCCCAGAGGATTCTGGCTTCCAGCTTTGACCCTGATACAGGAAAAAAAGAATCTAGATGCTAACCAAAGCAAGAGATAAGAGAACGTAGGAGTGTGGTGGGCACGTGATACATGGTTTGTCCTGAATAGCATGGCAGTTATGTGGGACAGGAATCAGTGTCTGTGCTCTTGGCTTGGGAGTGGTTTCCCCAAGTACCTCAGGCAGTGGTGACATCTCCCTCCCTACCCCCCACCCCCACTTCCTGAATCTATATGGAAGGGTGGTTTGGTTTTTGGCCTGGCAATTAGGGAATCTTACTTAATATTCCCTATTTGATACCTGAGGCAGGTCACTCATTCTCTGGAAGATTTAGTCTCTTTCCATGGATTTCTAACTCCTAAATACCAAATACTTCACTTCTGAATAATTTGTGAGGTACTCAACAAGTTAGGTAATGTACTTGAAAGTCACACATGTGACAATCTGTGGTGTCAAGGCCGGCCACAGTCTGGAGCTCCCATAAAGCAATGTTCTCTATCTATGTGTTCAACATTTCTTTGATGGGAGCTAAGAGAAAATAATTTCTATAATGTTCATAATAAGGAATTTGTTCTAATATGCTCAAAATAGGAAATTTATGCCACATACTGAATATAACATTTAAATTTACCTGGAATTATTTTTCATATAACTTTTTTAAAATCACCAATAGCTAGATACTATTCGTTATCCACATTGAAGTAAACATGAATGTAGCCATAGTCTTCCAAATTATGTTTAAAATTTTTTTCTGGGTGACCAACTTTCCTCATTTTTCTGCAATTTGTGTTTTCTTTCTAGTTTTAAAAATTTTTCCAAGACAGACATTTTCTTGGGAGCCCTATTGAAAGATTTTATATTTAGTTAATGTAATAAAATACAATATAGTGCACTAAGCAGCACGGTACTATGCTTTCTTTATTCAGTTTCTAAATTTTAGCTGAAGGAGACAGCAAACTTGAGGAGACTGTCAGCTGGCTGATCTCAGGGTAAGCTGTGTTGCTTGTAATTATACTGCAAAAATATGATCAGAGATAGGCTAGCCCCCGCGAGCCATGTTTTTGAATGTCCACTGGAAGATGCTGTCTACTTCAGCAGACAATTATTTTGCGCTAATGGAAGATGTCTCATGAGCAAAATTGAGATAACAGGCACCATATTTGTGATAATTTCAGGAATGCTTTTGTGTTCTCTATACACAGGGGCACCTTGGCCAGCTGTCTCATCCGGCTCCAGGCCTTGTGTGAAGGCACGGGGCTGAGGGAGACCTGGGTATGAATATATGACTTTGAGCAAGACATTTAACCCCTCTGTGCCTCAGTTTCTCCCTCATAAAATGGTGATATTTGCAGTTATTAGAGATATTAAAGTTATAAATAAGACTATTATTTAGAAGTACACTGTACAGTATAAAACAAATAATAATCAACATGCAATTATGCTCTTTCCATTAATCCTTAATAACCTTAACATATTGCTGCTTTGAAGAGTTAGTACGAGAGCCCAAGCTTGTTATAAAACGCTTATTTCCTAAATGGTCTCACCAAAAAAAAAGAAAAAGAAAAAAAAGTGAATACATGAAGTGGATATGTTAATGTTAACTAACTCAATGGGGGGAATCCTTTCACAATGTATACGTATATTGTTTTTGTTTTTTTTTATTGGGGAACAGTGTGTTTTTCCAGGACCCATCAGCTCCAAGTCGAGTAGTTGTTTCAATTTACTTGTAGAGGGCACATCTCAGTGGCCCATGTGGGGCACCGAACCGGCAACCCTGGTGCTATGGGCACCGTGCTCTAACCGAGCCAACTGGCCACCCCTATATGTATATTGTGCATCAAATCATCACCTTATACACTTGAAATATCTTACAATTTTGTCAATTATACCTCAGTAAAGCTGGGAAAAAAAGGCTGATTACCGAGATGGATAATGCTCAGCATTCAGTACGTGCTATGTAACAGTCATGCATCCTGTGGGGAACGCGTCCTGTTTCGCAGTGGTTCCCAGCGTAGGCTTTGGAGTCAGACAGATCTGGGCGGGGCTGAATTGACTCTGCTTTGTCACAAACATGTGTGTCTCTACATGTGCCTCATAAGGTCATGCTGTCCTTCTCTGCCCTCAAAACTCCAGTCATATGGAACTATTTGTAGTTCCCAAAAGCACCGGGCTAGCTTCCCAGCTTAGCTTCTTGTTCCCCTGCAGGATGGCTCTTTCTCCTTCCACTTTCTGCTAACCCCTGTTCTTCTGTTCCTCCAAGCATTCCCTGACCCTCAAGGCTGGGTTAGGTGTCCTTTCCATCTGCCCGCTTCCATAGCCACCCTTGATGTACACCTGTGGTCAGTGCGCTGACATTGCCTAGTCATTGGCCTCCCCCCCCCCCACTTTAATATTGACTATTATAGTATTTTTGGGTTTAGCATATGCTAGGCACAGTGCTTAGTGCTTTATGTACAGGATCTCAGTGAAGTCTCCTAACAATCCTAGGAAATAGGTTTTAATACAGATGAGGAAAATGAAGCTGAGAGAGGGTAAATAACTTGCCCAAGGTCACACAAACGCAAGCAGAAGAGCTGGGATTTGAACCCAGGTCTGTCTGACTCCAAACCATTTGCAGTCTATTGTAAATTTCTAAGGGCTTACAGGGTTGAGCACAGTTGACGGCATGTAGTAAGCACTCAACAAATAACAGCTATCATTTTGACCCAACCAGACTGTAAGCCTCTGCAGGGAAGAATCTTAACCCCTTGGCACAATACCCTAGCCAAGGCTGAGTCAGTGAGTGGAGACCAAGGACAGTGCATTGGCTTCTGGAATATTTACCACAGCACCACTGATTGTTTCTCAGTAAATGACCGATGTGTGTTTTCTATCACACATCTCTGTATTTGAGATGTTCCATTTCTTGTCATACTTTGGCCCCTTTCTACGTCTGAGTAAGGAGAGGGTGGGACTAGAGAGGGGCCCAAAACATCAGCTGAAGCTGCTTTTTTTGATGAGACACAGGAACCACCAACCACCTAAATAAACGTCCTCTTTATTTACCAAATATAATTTATCAGTTATGTTGACATTTGTCAATTCAGTTATAGTAACTATAAATAATTCTCTTAAGACACAGTTTTGTAACTTTTTAAGGATACAAGAGTAAACCAATGTCGCTCCTTGCAGCCAGGCCAAAAGTACATGCAGTTTGTGCAATCAGGGGAAAAGAATCTTCCACGAAAGTCAACTTCATTTTCTTCCCGTCTCACCCCAGTCCTCCCTCTGCTCACACACTCGGGGCTGGGGGCACGCCTACCTTCCTGCTTTTTCGGCAAAGGAGGGTGCTCCGGAGTCTTCCAGGGCAGCCTGGTCAAACTCCAGAGATTAGGAAGGGGTAAGTGACTGGTCAGGGGTAACTGGAGATCACAGGGCACAGCCTCCAGGGCAGAGGAGTTGGTTTTAGTGCCTGTACAAGAAGAGTGTGTGCAAACATGTTTGGAGGTGGAGGAAAAGATGAAAGAAGGCCTGAGGGAGGAGCAGAAACAAGCCCAGGCTGGTGTTAATGATCTCTGCTGGACAATACTCTGACTAGATAACCTCTACAATTCCTTCCAATTCTAAGGTTCTAGACTCCAGAAGGTGGTCTGGGTGGACATGGAGGGAGAAGAGAAGAGAGTTTGGCGGTATGGGGCAAGTTCTTGAAATGAGGCACGGTGTTTGTCAGAGACAAGATCATTCCCTGGCCCTCCCCTGGAGATGGGCCCTTTAGGTGACAGAGGGGAGAATTTCTGGGGAGTCTGTGGACAAAGAGGTTAGAAAAAAACCCTGCATTCAAATACCAGTATTTGTACATGTGTGAGTGTGGACAGATCTGTTTGGAGTAACATGTGGGTAAGATACAGAGACTCCAGTGTTCTCCCGATCTGTGCTAGGCAGAGAAAAATAGAGGCGGCTGGTTGCTGTCCAGTCTATTTCTGAATCCTCCTTTGGGTGGCTGGTGAGGAGGTGGAGGGTTGGGAAGGTGAGGAAGGGTCATTTAGGGAAATGCACACCGGTTGCGCCATGGGGCTGGGGGCTCTAGCTGTGGTTGGCATTGTACAGAGGTGGGGTCTAGGAGGGAGAGCCAGAGGCAGAACTTGGCCTGGTGCTATAAATGCAAATACTTACAGCGAGGAGACTCTCTGCCAGATTGAAAGGAGCATGTAGCCTTTATCTGGGGAATGAGATGAGGTTAGAGCTGTGTTTCCCTTACCACTGGCTAGCCTGGCACAGTACGTAATACATAGTAGGCACTCAATAAATATTGTTCAATGACTGTTTCAGACCATGCCTGCAGAAGCGCTCCTCTTGGGGAGGCTGTGTATTTGCTAAGTGAGTGAATGATGAATGTAGGCAGAAGCCAAGGGAAAGGACAACTGACCTCCATGGCATGTCAGAGTGATTTTGGGAAGTGACAGTCTAAGGTGAGCACGTGATTGTGTCCTCAGGAGAAACAGCAGTAGTGAAAACCCCCTGGTTGTCCTCAACCTCCCAACCATTTTCCACATACCCATTCCCATCCCTAATCTCGGAACCCAACCTGGCAAGCTCTGGGGAAGGTAGTGCTTAGAGACAATTAGAGATGCAGGTTGAACAGAGATAAAGAATCGGTTCTCTGGGATCTTGGCAAACCTATGAGTGGACATGGGTCAGCAAGGGAAGCAGGCCAGTGCTCATTTCTTCCTGGCTGTACCAATCAGTCAGAAAACAGATCAATGGGAGGGGTGGGTGGTGCTTACCAGGCAATCGGGTAAGGGGCATGTGCACAATTCAAATAGCCAGTCCACCTCAATGTTTTTGAGAGCAGAGGGCCTAGGTCCAGAGGGCAGAAAACAGGGCTAGGATCATATGGGTCTCTTGCCTAGTGCTTTGAAGTTGGTCCAATTCTAGAAAAAAGTGTGTGTGTGTGTGTGAGATCTTTATCCCTCTGTGCAACCAAAAGGAAAACAAAAATACCAGAGCCCACTCACAAAGGGTTTCTCATTAGGGCCAAGACTAAGTTGGCTAAAGCATGTCCCTAGATCCCCAGAAACTCCTGCCCCAATCCACCTCACCTGGAGGCACCCACCATGAAATTGCACTTGGTGATTGTCTCAAAAATCTACTTGTACTGCTTGTCTCAGTCTATCTGTCCTGCCTGAATTCTTGCTATACAAACTTGGCTCAATGTATAAAAATTCCCATTGAAAATAATGAGAATTCAGTATCAAAGTGAAGTCCTAGAAAGAGGTGGGAGTTTGGAATGGATTGGGGGAAGGGGAACAAAAGAAAAAAATTTCAAAGAGAAAGTGCAGAGGGGTGGGAGAAGGTTGAGTGCCCAGGCTAGTCCCCGACATCCGTGTCTCGGTCCCCAATGAGCCAGAGGACATGGAAGCTGAGTGCTAGGAGCCCAGTGCCAAGCAGGTCCCCCAGCGCTGTCAAGTACGGGATGGAGAAGTTATCGGGGTCCAGGCCCCGGCCCCACATCCAGTGCACCATCCAGTCTGCGATGTACAGGAGAATCAGCACCTGGAGAGACAGAAGGGCTTGGTCTGTAGCCATCCCTCTCTCCAGGGGGAGCCAGAGGCCACACGATCCGACACGATCATTGCATCACAAGGCTTGGCTCTCCAGTCCTTAACGCTGGGACAGCTTATCTTTCCACATGGTGACCTCTCTGTGTTCCTCCACCCCATAATCACCAGTTTGAGCAGATGACAGGCATAATGTGAGCCCTTTAGAAAGGAAGATGCTATACTCCCCAGAGTCACCCACATCATTACACTGTGCTCCCAAATTTACCAAATGAGGGGCTTCCTGACCGAAATCCTAATGTTGCAGGAATTCAGCCCTCTGGCCTCTAATTCTAGGTCACCCTATTCTCGGGTCACTCCAATTCCTGCCATGTTTGGCTTCTCCAGGAGCCTGGCAGGGGGCTGGGGTTGGAGTTGGCTTTTCATAGAGGGATTTCTCTTCAGAGCAGAGTGGAATAAGGAGTGTTTGAGGCTGCTGCCGGCAGTCGTCTGAGTAACAGCTGATTATCCCAAGCTGGCTTCCTCCTGACCCTTTCCATTCTGCTGTTGTGGGCTCAAAGAATGCAAGTGTGTTTTCATGTTAGCCCTAGCACAATACAATTACCAACAAGTCTGCTAAAAAGAAAGCAGACAGTGCATATCAATTCAAAAGACATTTTGGATTATCTGCTGCTTTGATTTATCTGCGCCCTTGATTTCTTCCCACTGCTACAGACAACTAAGAATGATTCAGATTAGAACCTTGATAGTGGGTCCAGGATCAGTAGCATCAACAGCAGCTGAGAGCTTGTTAGAAATGCAGAGTCTCAGGCCCCACCCTGGATCTCCTAAATCAGAATCTGCAGTTTAACAAGATGCACATGCACTTTTAAGATGGAAATACACTTGCTCTAGATACTGTGGGGGAGTGAGCAGGCCCACATCTTCTAGATGCTCTGCACTACCCCTGACATTTGGTCTCCCTAAATGACTGCATTTGTGTGAGAATGAAATGGTTTCTGACGGTAAAGCTCCAATACAGTCATTTGGGAGGTTTTACTCTTGACTGTACTTTGCAAAATACTGTGGTATGTAAATTCTGCCCTAGGGGGCTCAGATGCAGGAACCAGACACTCTTGGGGAATTCAGAAGTCAGAATTTATACCTATTTTTAGGCAAACTTGGTTGTTCTTCTGTCTGCTCTCCAAGGAGCCAGAGGTTATAGTCCTAGCACCACAGTCCCCATTGCCCTGCAAACAGCTGCCTTGCACTCCTGTGGCCTTGGCCCTGACCCTGGGTGAAGGCCAGCCCTCCCCTTCCCAATAACTTCACACCCTTTCTAGCAGCTTTAGAAGAGTCTCAAATAAAGAATGTGGCTAGGAGGACTGCGGGACATGTACCAGGAAGGGAATAACAGCAGCTGTCCCCACATTCCAGCCTCCTGGGCAGGCCCGGGGACGCATGGCAGAGGGGAGGCAGCAAAGGATCAGCAAGAACCTTCGCAGGGGATAAGTGCCAGGTTCTGGCCCTCCACAGGCCTCGAGAAGGCAGCAGAGGGGAGAGTGTCCCTCAGCGTGTTTGTCATGGGGAATGGAGCCAAGGCTTGTCTTCCCGCAGTGGGCCAAGAGCTAACCTCCAGCCGCAGACCCTCCCCTTTCCACCAAGCGCACTTAACCCCCACTTGCAAGGGAATGTGGCGACCTGGATAACTGTTGCAGGAAATAGCATATGGCTGATTCTCAGTGCAGCCCTTGCCAAGATGTCCCAACACACAACCTTTCTCAAGGTAGGGGTGGGGGGTGGAGGGATAAGTGATTAGTAGTAAGAGTCTAGTGAAATGAAGTCAGGGTACTTCCCTGTAATAGCATAGAATGCAGCCATAAAAAAACCAGGATGGCCTTTTCTTTAAATACTGACGTGAAATGATCTCTAAGACAAATTATTCTGTGAAATAGGCAGGGCATGGACAGTGTACACAGTATGTTACCTGCGTGTAAAAAAGCGGAGGAAAATAAGAAAAATATATGTTTGCTTATATAAATGTGAAATAGCTTGGAGGATATATAAGAGATAGAAACACCAATGGCCTATGAGGAAGACAACTGGATGGCTGGAGAGAGCAAAAAAAAGACTTTTCACTATGAACCTTTCAAATTTTTGAACTATGTGATTGTCCAGAAACCAAATTTATAGAAATTTGAAATGTAATAATAAGGGTGAGTGTGGCTATAAAGGGGTAGCACGAGGGAGCCTTGTGGTGATGGAACAGTTCTGTCTTGACTGTGGCGGTGGTTACATGAATCTACATGTGATAAAACTGCACAAAATTACACACACACACACACGAGTGCATTTAAAACTGATGCAATGTGAATGAGCTCCGTGGACTGTATCAGCGCTGATTTCCTGGTTTTGACATTGTGCTATAGCTACGCCAAAGATTACCACTGGGGGAAACTGGGTGGACAGCACGTGGATCTCTCTGTACATTTTTGGGGGCAACTTGCTGTGAATATATAATTATTTCAAAATAAAAAATTAAAAAAATGTAATTAATACAAGGGAGAGCGTGTCATAGTATTATAGAACGGCAAGGCTGGACAGCATCCTACAGATTACCTACTCGAGTGGTTTTGACACTTTCCAAGCTATGAAACCCTTTATTCATATGAAATCTCCTGAGAAAGCCCAGCATGCAAAACAGAGCCACGTAGAGTTCTGTGGCCAAAGCCCATCTGCTCAGTCCCGTATAACCACCTGCCTGAAAACCACCACCTCCTCTCAATTTACAAATGCATCGCTGGGCTCAGAGATAAAGCTACTAGGCTCAAGTCACACAGTATGTTAGTGACTGTGCTGGAACTACGGCCTGTTCTGCTGAGCATCTGTCCAGTCCCAGAGAAAGAGGTGGGAGAGAGTCTGACAGGCCAAGCCTGAGTCTCCCCTCCCACCCCCACCCATGCCCCTGCCAGTTTGTACCTGGAGCAGTGCAGCTGTCATGTAGAAGACAATGAAGATGAGTGTGAGTGTGGTGTGCCCGCCCTGCATACAGCTGATGGTGTAGAGGAACACGAGGTGTCCTGGAACCACGAGCAGGAAGAGAACCCGGGCGGAGCGAGAATTCACATCTGGGACCGGGGAAGAAAGGGTGTGAGGAGGCGGAGAGGAGTAAACCTGGCCCCAGAAGGTCTTTCAAAGTCGGGAGGTTCCATGCTACACTCCAGGGCAGCAGACAGCTGACTGCCTCTACGTCCTCATCCCATGGTCCGCAGCCCCCAGGCGCTCTGCCCTCTACAAAAGCTGGTGTGGCCCAGCAGAGGAGGAGAATCCGTGTGTCTGGGCCCCAGCTGTTCCTTAAGTGAAGTTCACTGATTGTTGGCCCCCTCCCTCCAGGGATGGAAGGGACCTCAGAGGCTGGGACTCGGCCATTACCAGGACTGAAGAAGGTGGTACAAGGACTGGGGCAGCGGCGTGGGGCTTGCTCAGAGTTTTCCCCTGGCATCCCGTTCATGTGGAGGAAGGTGGAGATGCGGCTGGCCTGCACTGCCACCAGATTGCCCCCGACACCTGCAGAGAGACGTAAGACCTTAGATATAGGGGGAGGGATGAGTGGGGAGGGCATGAGCCATTCACGTCCCCGGGAGAAAAGTGAGGCAGTAAGAAGGAAGACAAAAACACTTCCCTGCCACTCTAGGGAGGGGAGCCTTTCAGGCTCCTCCCATCCTCCGCGCTAAGGAGAGGTGGCAGTCCCATGCCTCTGGTGTGGCTGAGAGTGCAGGAAGGGATGTAGGCAGACCTGTGTCACTGGAGCCTGACTTCTCCACCACTGCAGTGTATGCACCTGCTGTTGCACACAGCGGAGACGACGAGGCCGTGCCTTGCCTCAGGCCCTCTCCAAAGCTCTGAGCAGACCCAGGCACGCAACGCTCACGCGCTGGTGCCAATAACCAATGTCAAGCGTCAGGTTTGAGCTCTGCACTCTGAAGTCACCCAGGAACTACGCTTCTGACTGTTGCCATCCCACCCCAACCTATTCCCTGTTCTCCTCAATCTTGCTCTGCGTCCTGTGAGGCTGACTTCTACAGACTGTCACCCAACCCCCTGTGCCGGCTGCTTCTTACCAGGTTTGTTCAACAGGAGGCACCAGCCGGTGATCAGAGAGGGTGAGAGGAGAGAGAGGTCAGGTATTTCTTTCCTGAGCCCTCTCTGCTTTCTGGCAGTGGCTTACCCCGGAGGAGAGGTAGAGTGGGGCTCTTTCTGGACTCCCCTAACACTATTTCCTCCCCTTGACACTTGAGGACTAAGGCTTCCTATTGTTGCCAATCTCCGGTGCCTCAGCATCTCTTGTTAGTCCTTCTATCCTGCTCCCACCTCTGGGAGCAGCCCCTTCATTAAAGTCTTGAACTAACTAAGCTAGATTCTCTTGCCTGCTGTAACCCGGACTGATACACAGCCCCTCAAAGCCTCTTCTCCTGCTCTCTCCTTTCCCTGTGGCAGCTGAGGCCAAGACCTTACCATTAATCACAGGTGTGAAGACAGCCATCCCTGCAAAGTTGGGGTCTGAGACAGTCTTGTCCAAGATGAGGCCTCCCACACTATGTAAACACAAAGACAAAACCACACAAAGACCATTGAAGGGTTCAGTTCTAGTCCCTGGGATGAGAGGCACAGGCCCATCTGGCCTTGGGGAGGAAGAGAAGCAAGGTGGCTCCCAGGAGTCCCTCATATTCCAGTCTTCACCTCGTTTGCCAGAGCCAGCTGCTGCTCATAACATTCGAACTGGCACAGTGCCCGCGAGCAAGCTGGTGGTACTGGGACAGGCAGCCGCCTCCTGTACCCACCTCCCAAGTTGGCTAGAGGAGTTGTCCACAGGGCAACCTGCTGTTGTGTCTGCTCAGTATTTATTTATCCCTCTGGTAACAGTGCTGAGCTCTTCCTCAGGGAACCAATCACCTCTCTCAAACTCAGTCATTGTGGCTCATGTGACATTGCTCCAATGATGGCTAGGCCCCAGACCCATCCAATCAAGAGCATTACATTCCCAGGGCCATAGTGATTGGTTCAGGGATGATCACGTGACTGAAGGAGAGCCAATGAAATTCTATAATGGGACTTTGTGAAATTGTTGAGAGAAAGAATCTCTCTCTTCCCACTGGAATTAGTAAGAGTAAGAAAAGTATAAACCTGTAACTTCAGGCCAACACAGGGAAAAGATGGAGAATAGTGATGTCCTGATGATATCATTTCTACTGCTGAATTCAGCTGTGCCTTTTTAGTTCCCTAATCCAACGCATCCTGCTTTTCAATGAAACCCATTTCAGGGGGTTTCTGTCACTTGCAAGAGGACATGTGACTGATACACTATTTAAGGCATTTCTATGGTCTGACCCCTGCTCCACCTCTCCAGGGTTTAAAAGGCAAGTCTGTGGCAGGGTGGAGGAGGGTGGGGTGTGTACCCAGGGCCTGAGCCTACCTGCTGATGGCCATGGCAATGATGACAGGCTCCCAGCCCGAGTACAACACCTCCCTTGTGGCTGGGCTCCGTCGAGCCAGCACCACCCAGACAGGCAGCAGGGCCACGAAGAAGGCACACACCAGGGGATAGATGTACTGCCAGTCATCTGAGAGAAGCAGAGAACAGAGGAAGGTGAGTACCGTGGCTCCCTGCTCCAAGCCTTTCCCTGACTCAGCCTGTAAATATATTACCTCATTTGACCCTCACTGTAAGCCCAGGAGGTAGGCGGGGCCAGTCTTTTCCATTTTGTAGATGAGGAAACCAAGGTTGAAAGCTCCCCTGGCTTTTTGGACCCATTAGGAGCAGAGACCAGATTCTAGGGTTGTTGCTTGAATTCCCAGAAATCACTATATCCCCTCCCCCTCTTCATGTTGCAAGCAGATTCTAGCCTTTAGTTCCTTTTCTTTACCCCTTCCCCCAGCCCCTCCAAGGGAAGCAAGAATCCACAGGACCCAGCAGAAATATATCGTATTTCCCCATGTATAAGACACACCCTTTTCCGAAAAATTTGGGGTCTAAAAACTGGGTGCGTCCTATACAGTGGCTGTAGATATCAAATGCCATAGATGGAACTGAGGACGAGGCAATATATGAAGACAGTGATTCGTCAGCAGACACAGATGAGGACACGCTAATGGTTGGGAGTTTTGACAGTGATGAGGAGTTGTATGAATTTTATGATGAATAAAACTTGAGTTCAATAACTTTATGTAATACATTCTTTTTCAAATTTTGGGCCCCAAAATTAAGGTGCGTCTTATACATGGGGAAATACGGTGTTTCCCAGATACTTTCTTCCCTGCCCCTGCCGCCTGCAGGAACTTGAGACAGGCAGTTAGCCTCACTTCTCTAAGGTGAGGAGTTATTACAACTTTGATCCAACAAATAAAGAACACAGAAGAAATGCTCACACATTTGCAAATCCACTACCATCCGTCCCCATCCCACCCAGGAGTCCACCTGGGTTACAGCCTCGGTGGCTTCAACCTCACCCAGCTCCAGGTAGAGTCCCCAGCTGATGCCTGAGAGCAGTGCCAAGGTGATGAGGTCGCCCAGGCTGGCAGCAATGGGAGTGGCCACATTGTCTGGGTTGATGCCAATCTTGCGAGAGCCAATGATGACCCCAATCATGATCATACCTGGGGAAGAAGGGGAGGGGCCAGGTAGGGTAAGAAGAGATAAAGGGGTAGCAACAAAGGAGACTGAAGTGCCGGGCCCAGCTGACCCCTCTGGGGCAGTCCTCCCACCTCCCTGCCCCTCGCGTCTCTTCCTTACCCAGTACCAGGGAGGCAATGAAGGCTGTGGCCACGCTGCTGGCACAGAGCAGGAAGGCGTGTGGGATACTGAAGTGCCCGTCTGGGATCCAGCCGAAGACGACAGCTGCGATGGATGCAAGGAAGCCCACCACTGTGGCCTGCACCTGAGGAGGGAGTGGGAATTCGGAGAGCCCCCGGATCAGAGAGCTTCTTAGCTAAGGCCACTGAGCACTTGGCCAGACCTCTTCTTGGCGTTCGGCAGCCCCAGGAGGCAGGCTGAACGGGACTGTCCAGTCCTCCCAAGCTGGAATGATGGCTTTATTTATTTAGTTTCACACCAGACACTAGAACTGGGCAGTGCACCCTGCAGGAGCCCAGGACATGTTACTGGCTGAGCGTGTTCCTCTGGGGGTTGGGGTGAAGTTCAACAGTGCCTGAGACTCCAGTCCAGAGACAAAGCCTGGGCGGGCTTCAAGGGGGAGGACTCCAGTGCAGAACCTGTGTAGCCTCACTGAGACATGGGGCAATGGTGGTCAAGGACATGTTAGCACCCTGAATCTGCTTTGTGAGGACATGAGCCCCCTGCAGCACTGGAAACCGAGAACTGACATTGAGATACTGGGGTCCTCCCCATCCTGGCCGTTTTCTTGGGAAACCTGGTTACCTCCTAAAGCTGCTTTGGGAAAAGCCAGCTCAGCAGGATGCCGGAGCTTCACTCGGGAGCCAGCTGGGGCTGCCCTAAGCCCTTCAGATTCCTGACCAAGGAGGATGCTCAACCCAACCTCTCTGGTCCCTGACCTCTTACCTGGATGAGGGCCATGTTCCCAGTGATCATCCGCCAGAGCTCCTTGGGTGTGTCCATGTGCCCGATGTTGGCCTGGGAGAAGGAAGACGGGGGCTGGAGCTCCAGGCTGGAAAAGGCCTGCGGCTCCATCCATTAGAACCCTGCCTTGCTAGGGAGGCAGTACATGTGGCCTAAGACTCTGGGATCAGGACGCGACCCCCAGGAAGGCTAGAATGAGAGGGAGGAGCTACGGAGCCTTGAGCTCCTGCAGCTGGGTCAGGGCAGGAAGGGGGCTCGAGAGGCAGCCTCCTCCTCTCAGAACAGCCGCTGAGCAGAGGCAGATTCCGTCCTCTGCCCCACTCGCTGGGGCAGCCCATTCCTGCACGGGCCAGAATGGCCCGATGGATTCCTGGCTCTGAAGCCAGCTTGCTGTCCTAGAGAAGGAAAGGTCAGCTGCTAGTGTAAGACTGAGGCTGCAAGAGTGTTTAGGAAGGAGTGAGGCGACACGGGAGGAGGCCAAGAGTGGGGCAAGTTGGTGCAGGTTAGGCTGGCTTCCACTTCTCTTTGCTGCCTTCTCCAGACTTGTGGCCATGTAGGGACATTCGTGCCACCTGGCTCCCTTGGCCCCCTCAGTTGTATTGCCTCCTGCCTCCCACCCCATGGCCCTGTGTCTGGTTCAGCCTCTGAACCATCATGGCTGATCTAAGGGGTTGTGGGAGGTGGGAGTGACGGGCACCCCTCCCTGTCTATTCCGTTAAAGAAGAGCCATGGGGGAAAGGGAATGGGATGGGAGGAGGGCTGGGAAGGCCTGGCTCTGCTCCGGCCCAGCTGCAGAGTAGGGCTGGAGATCAGACGAGGCCCCCATCTGTGCAGGTGGAAGGACCAGCGTGATGCTTGCCTGTCAAAGCTGCACAAACAGTCACGAGGCGGGTTGCGAAGCAGGGGGTGAGGCAAGCGTCCAGGAATGGCTGGGACATCCAGAAACCAAGCCCGGGAACCACTCAGGCAGGGAGCCCCTGCCAGGAGTAGGACACCCGGCCCGGGATCCCCTTACACCTTCCCACCCCAGCCCCATACTCCAGGCTGGGCAGTTGAGAAAGGCCAGTAGTGGTCTCCCAGCCTGGCTCTGTGCTGCCTGGAGTCCCCTGTGTGCCCCACTCCTCCCAGTCAGGGTACTCACTGCAGTGGAAAGCCTTGAAGCCAGGGTCATTTCCAGGTTCCCCTTAAGCCCCAGCAGTGCAGGCACCAGGATGAAGACCTCCGTCACCTTCTGGAAGACTTCCCAGTGCTACAGGGTGAAAACAGAACCCAGGAATTCCAGTGTCCCAAGGGGATGGTATCAAGGTCAAACACATAGTCTGGGATCAGGGGCTTGAGGAGGAAACGGAATCAGCAGGAGTGACCACATCAGCCACCTTTTCTCCAAGAACCCTGGAACCAAACCAAGCCCATGGTGCTCCTAACAACACAGCCCCCCTTCCTGCCACTCAGAACAGGAGAGACCTAGAGGGTCTTTCTGGTCAGGAGACCCTAGCCTGGCTCTACTTCCTCTGCCTGCTTTTTGGAGCCAGGGCAAGGAGGATAGTGAGGACCCACACACAACTGAATCACCCCAGGGGGCTTACACCCCAAAACTCCTTTGAGATCCCCCATCAAGTTGCAGTCTCCAACCCCTTTGCCTTTAGTCCATTTTCTTTGTGGCCTCAGCCTTGGGTGGTGTTGTCTCAGCTGTTGAGAGCTGGGCTCCACGGGGCTGAGGAGATTAGAGTTTGTTTGGTTTTTATCTCTAAGGGCTTTGGGCCTCAGCCATAGCAATTTTCCTTCTGAACAGGCTGTGAATTAAGACTGGGGCCCTTAAACCTCGGAAATCTGGTCTGCAAGAGGCTTTTTATTCCTCCTTTGCACTCTCTTGCCCCATACACCTGCCATAATCTCTCAGCTAGAAGAGGCAAGTGTACCCCCGCAGGAAGAGCACTGGGCTGGGAGCCAGGAGACATGGGTTCTAGCCCCAAGACCATCAGGCCTCCTACCAGTTCCTTTGGTGAACATCTATTAAGTAGGCTAAGTGCTCTAAGGGCATTTTCCATTTCATCCTATCAACAACCCAGTAGGGTAAGGGCTATTTTGATCCCCATTTTGAAAATGAGGAAACTGAGGCCCAGAGAGTACTATAATATATTTATTAGTGCTAAGAGGTGAAGATGTAGGAGCCAGGATTGGCTATTTCAAAGCTACTTTAGTTGCAATTGAAACTGAAGACTTGCAAAACAGGCTGGGATTGAGTCTCCCTTACTGGTGGCAATGTGGGTTCCTATATTTGTTTTAAGAATGGAAAGCCTTCAGGTTTGGAGAGGGACAGGGGTCAGGTGGCCGGGCGGAGAAGTACATAGGCTGATTAGGATATCACAAAGGGCCGTAATGTACCAGGGCACTGGGCAAGAGACCACAGGGAGGGGTCTCATGCTGTTTTCCCAACATGCTCCCCATATAGACCAGGGGGGACCTTATACACGTTACAAGGGCCTCAAGCTCCTGACTATAAAATGTACAATTCAGGGGCCAGATCAGATGGTCTCTAGAGGCAATTCCAGCACCGACACTCTATAGTTAAGGATGAGCAAGGTTGCAAATCAAACCTACAGTAAGATATCCCTCATATCCATTAGGATGGCTACTATGAAAAAATCCTAGAAAATAACAAGTGTTGGCAAGGATGTGGAGAAACTGGATCACTAACGCACCATCAGTGGGGATGTAAAATGGTGTAGTCACTATGGAAAACAGTATGGTGGCTCCTCAGAAAATTTAAAATAGAATCTATCATATGATCCAGCAATCTCACTTCTGGGTATATATCCCCAAAATTGAAAGCAGGGTCTCCAAGAGATATTTGTACACCCATGTTCAAAACAGCATTATTCACAATAGCCAAGAGGTGGAAGCAACCCAAGTGCTCATTGGCAGATGAATAGAGAAGCAAAATGTGGTTACGTATACAATGGAATATTATTTAGCCTTAAAAAGGAACGATATCATGTCACACGCTACAACATGGATGAACCCTAAGGACATTACACTAAGTGAAATAAACCTGTCACAAAAAGACAAATACTGTGTGATTCCACGTATATGAGGGATCTAAAGTAGTCAAATTCATAGAAAGTAGAATGGTTGCACCAGGGCTGGGCGGAGGGAGAAATGGGGACTTAGTGTTTAACAAGGACAGAGTTTCAGTTTTGTAAGATGAAAAGGTTGTGGAGATGGATGGTGATGGCGATAGTATAACAATGTGAATATCCTTAACATTACTGAAGTATATATTTAAAAATGGCTAAAATGATAAAATTTATATTATGTGCTTTTTACCACAATTGAAAAAAAAAAAAGATAAGCAAGGATGTTAGAGGTGGCTGGGGCCAGGGCTAGAGACCAGGGGAGGCTGGACATTGTGAGGGTCCTATAAGGCAAGGGGCTCTCTTTTCTCGTTTGAGTTCTTTGTCAAGGGGTGGAGGTGTCCCTACCAGGACCCTGGGGAAGGGCTCCTCTCCTTAGGGCTAGAGTATACCCTTACCTGGGCTCTTGGCCTGGCCCTTCACAGGGGAAGGGCCTAGGACTCCGTATAGGGCAGCCCCGCTCTTAAGACTAAGGATGGGAAAGAGGCCCCCTGCCCTGCCCCCCATCTCCCAGCAACAGTTGCTGAGCTTTCAGGTACCCATCGAAAGAGCCAGCCCCTTCCAAATGGAAGGATGTGAATCCCTCCGCACTCCTTGGGGCCCCCAGAGAGAAGGCAGCCCCGGTGGGCTTCATCTGCCCTGGAGGAACTCAAGGACTGTTACTCTTGGAAGCTGGTGTACATCGCTAAGCTTCCAGCTCCCTGCGGGCCCAGTCTTGCTCTGCTTTGCCTCCTCCTTCCTCACCTATGCTGGACAAGCTGCTCCGGAGAGGGAAGAGTTTTCCTCTTCTTCCCTCCCCTCAGGGAGGTGGCTGACTGTGGGCTTTCAAAGCTCCTCTTTGAGCACAGCCTCCTATCTCCTCCCCACTGCAAGCCATCTGCCCCTCCCAGCTTCCCAGCTGCCAGCTCGGTGAAAAGCTTAAGTTTTCCAGGTAGGCAAACGTAGTGTGCATGTACTGACTGAGTGAAAGGGCCCGGAAAGAATTACTCCAAGTGTATGCAAGTAACAGTTTAAGAACTGCTTCTAAGGAATACTGTTTGTCTTTATAATTGTTTGAGGAAAAAAATGTGTGAAGCTCAGCTAAGCTCCTCTGGCTGACATTATAGCAATCCCCAAATCTCTCCGCTTTCCTCTCTCCTTTTAACTACACAAGGACCCAGAAGGTGAGGGGTTTCAGTAGCACTAACATGAGAGACATACAGGCAAGAAGAATAAGCAGCCATAATAACAGCCCTCATGCAAGTCTCCCCAACCCGCACAGAATACAGCCTGGAATCCCGGCCCAGAGAAGCCCTGAGTTGGCACTTGGGTCAGAGCAGCCAATTCCTACACACATACTTTATTCACCCACAAAACCCTCTCAAAGATGCAGCTCAGGTCGGGGGAGCCTGTGACCGGAGCACACACAGGGCTCTGGGAAGAGATGCTGGCGATGTGGAAACAGCCTGGAAGCGTGGTGGCCCTGAGGTCAGGAGTGAGCAGTATATGACAGGGCAGACAGTGTGTCTTCCTCGTTTGGCCTAATTCAGGCCCATCCTGTTCATCCTGGCTGGGAGTGCCTGCCCCTAAAGTTAAACCCGTCAGCCAAGCTGCCAGCCCAATCTTCACCCACGCCTTCCTACTCTGCTGGGGATGGAACAAGGCAGTTCCAGGAAGTACGGCCCCACTTGGTGGGGGCAGGGCAGCTACACATTTCACTGTTTCTCAGAAATGCAGCTCCTCTTCCTGTTCTTTCTTTGTCATTGGCAGGGGTAGGGGTTCACTGGTCCCTGGTGTATCCTGGGGGTGAGGGATGATCGAGACTGCCTACCCCACCCTAAGAGCAATCACCCTAAGCTCCCACTTCAGTGGCCCTGACAGTGCCTCCTCCTCGTCCTTCCATCCCTCACCTCTTCCGGTTTCGTACCCTGACCCCAGCCTGCTTGGAATGTTCTGTCCTGAGCTTTCTTCCCCTCCAGGAGGGCCGCAATAGGGAAGGAAGTCACAGCCGGGAAGTTGGGAGTCAAGACATGTAGAAAGACTGAAATCTCTAGAGATGAGCTCTAAGCACAGGCTGTGGGAGAACCTGGGAAGTGGGGCTGGAGTTGACCTTTCAGATCAGATTAGAATAAGCCCACAGCCTTCAGCTGTCTGAGCCCTGCCCCTACCCCACAGGGATCATCTGGGTGTCCAAGGAGAAGGGCCCCAGGGCAATGCCAGGATATAGAGAGCTGTACAAAGTGTGAGAAAGGGCTGGTCAAGTGAGACAGACCCTAAGTGTCCTGCCCAGGAATGTCCGCAGCCACAGGAACAGGCCAGACAGGAGAGAACGCCTCTGCCCCAATCCTCTTTTGCCCGAGCCCACACGTGCCGTCCACGTTCATATTTGTAGCTGCTCCTGTATCCGTAACAGGTACAGAAGCCAGAAGAGCTGCTGGCGGGAGAAGGGCCTACTTTCCTTGGGATCCTCAGCAAGTGAAGCGGTGAGGTCCAGTAAAAATAAGGACTGAGGAGTCCCACCTGTTTTAACACAGCTGGGAATGCCAGTGAAGGCCGGCGCACCACCTCCTGCCACCCCTGTCCCTCAAAAAAGCTGACCGAAAAAGGGAGGGAGACACCCTGCAGCAGTCAGGACCAGGTGAGGGGGTGGGGCGCACGGCGTCTGCAGCATGGAGGCTCCTATATCCCAAACCCCTTCCTTCAGTACCGACATTGGGCCCAGTCCTGCTTTCCCTCCCCAACGTGGCGGTCACTTTCAGCCACAGTGGTGGACCCGGGGCAGAACGCAGTCCATCTATCCTTTTCCTACTTTTGGCCAGTACGCCAGCCCCTAATCTCACTGCAGAGCTGGCTGTACACAGCGAGTGGAGAGGAGGGCAGATAAGGGGAGACCGAAATGGGTCTTCCAAGAAGAAACTGGGTCTTCTGCAGTAGTGGGGAAAGACGGGGGGCCCTGGGCCAAGGAAACATCTGCACCAACACAGACTTCTGCTCAGTTGCTCTGAGACACTGGGGATATTCTCTAGCCACCTCCTCCAGAAGGTCCTAGTCTCTTAGGCACTCCCAGGCTGCCCAGTGAAGGGGAAATGCAGGTGTGAATGTTGAGAAATCATCCTGCTCTTCCTCAGGGCCTGCTCCAGCCCCGCCATGACAGGGAGGCGGGGCAGCAGGGGGGAGACAAGGACAACCCAGCCATTGTCATCCATACCAACTGGACCTAGCTCTGAAGCAGCCTTAAGTGCCCCACCGAGGACAAATACTGGCCCTCTGTTGGCATGTTGGGAGGACCCAAAGGTTCCCTACCTCGGTATCTTCATGTCTCAGGCTTCTGGGGGTGGTGCAAGATGTCAGAAGCTTTTTCCAGCTTAAAAATTCTGAGTGTGTGGGATGGAGAAGTGGGGGCGCCCTCTAAGAACTTTGTCCTTGCTCACTTTAGATATAACTCCAATTGTTCCAGATTGCAGTCTACCCTGTTCTTCTGGGGAAGTGAAGAGAGCAGACCCAGGGTCTTTAACCAACTGGCAAACCATGGCCGTAGTGAAGGCCATAGAGGTCAAAGGTGCAGGCTCTCAATCAGATGACCTGGGACAAGCTACTTCACCGCTCTGGGCCATAGGTTCCCTAGCTACAAAATGGAGATGACTACGGTTCCTACAGAGGAGCCCAGCAAATGCTCCCCGTATCTATATTATCCAGAAAATAAAAAAACCTTCTCCCAGTTCACAACCGGACCCTGGTTCTATACCCTTTTGTAGGCACCAAACCAGAACTCAAAAACTCAAGAACTCAAAAAAACTGAGTCTGAGAATCAAGGCCATGGGAAAGGGATGGAAGAGGTGGAGAAACTGCTACCCAAGTCTCATCTCTCCCCTACCCACTGCCCCTACTCGCTGCCCTAGGAGGAGGGGAGGAACCCAATGCAGGCATTCCCAGCTCTAGGCTGGCTTCCTCACCTGCACGGAAACAATCTTCAAGGTAACAGGTTGGGGGTGAGAGGAGGCAGTACAGGCACTTTGGTGTGACATAAACAACATCCTCATTAGCAACTGAAGGTGCAGGGTTCTCCTGAAGGGCTCAAGTCAAAGGAACCACCTAGAACCAGCCACCCTCAGTTCCCTAGGACACAAGCAGAGACGAGACCCCTGGCCTGCAGAAAATCTTACTTTTGACTCTTGTGATCTCTTAACCCTTCGTCGCCCCTCCTCGGGCCCCCCAGCCCTTGTCACGCGGGACGGGATAGAGCATGGTGAGACCTGCCAGTAGGACTCTGCATCACTGCATGCATCGTTTGTAGGGTTGGTTTGGCACAGAGGAGTAGATGCTGAGCTCCAAACCCTCCTGTGGGACACCCTGGGGGCTCCTAAGGGGCAAAGGCCAGAGCTCGGGCCTCTGTATTTCTCCAAGTACCAGGACAGAGCCCAGCACGCAGCAGGAATTTGATAATTGCTAATGATTAACTTAGATAAACCAGCATCTTCAGAAAGCTCTGTGTGCCTTATTGTGCTTCAGATACTTTTATCGAGAAAGAAGGTTTTCATTCTCTCTTGGACCTGGAGGTTCTGGGTAAGTCCCAACCCACAATACGCTAACATAGCATATACTTGGCTCTTATCTTCCAGGACCTACCAATTCTTATCCTTAATTCTACTCAGTAGCCTCAAAAAAAGCCCTCTTTGTCAAGGGCAGTTTCATGAAGACAGGTAAGGAGCAAAGAAGACAGTTCTGCTCAGGCCTGGTTACATTTTGTCCCCATTTATGTCACATAATTAGCACTTCTAGGTCTTATAATGCCTCCAACCCCTCCGCCCCCCCAAATCATTCATCGGACAGCGTGTGCCCACCTCCATTCCTCAAGGAGATCATGCCAAGGTTACAGGCAGATAAGCAACACAAGATGCCTTTAAGAACCTTCCCACTTAATTTGAGACCCTCTTGGCAGCCAGACAAATTCCTGCCCAGCAGGGGGATGGAAGGGGAGACTTGAAACTGAGCTTTCTACTATGGGTATCCTAGAAACCCCAAGTAAAGGGAAAAGAAAGCCTAAAGAGAGGACCAATTTAATTATCTACTACTGAGCCAGGCTCAGAGGAATGCCCAGGAGGGATGGCAGGCAATCGCCCCATTCCATCTCTCCTCTTCCAAGCCTGAATTCTGAAACTAATTCTGCTTCTGTTAAGCAATATTGCCCTGACCATGTCCCTGGGGTTACTGGGCTTCCTTGAGGCTTCTGTAGAAAGCAACTAGACCAAGAAGAAACTGAGGAAACGATTCAAAGGGAAATAGTATTCCAGGAAACAGCAGCTGCTTCTGACAGGGAGGTGGAGAGAAAGCTCCAATAGTCAGTTTCCCAAAAGGAAAGGTGGCCCCGGGTTCACAGTCAAGAGCTGCCCGACCCAGGTCCTACCTGTACAATGTCCAGCACCATGCCTGCAGCCACAGTCCCAAAGCCTGCCAGGAGGAAGGGAAACAGCACTTGCAGCCCGATGGAAAAGGAGGTCTCCTTGAGCGGGGAGGGTGGTGCGGGGCCACGGTCTGTGCTGACGTCGTCACTTTCATTGCTCTGGCTCCCGTTTTCCAGCAGGGCGTCCTCCTCCCGAACCCCCTTGGCGTTGGCCCGAGACTCAATCACCACCACATCTACCCCAGCCCCATCAGGCCCCAGGAACTCAGAGGTCTCGGCCAAGGGCTCTCGCCCGGGGCCATCTGAAGAGCAGAGTGAGGCAGTAGGGCCAGTCCCGTTCAGCTGGTGGACGTCCTTCGGCTCTGACTTAGAGGACATGACGGGAAGGGAGGAGGGAAAAGGGGAAATTTCCTCTCTCTCTTTTTTTGCTTTCTCTCTCCCTATCTAACTCAGGAAAGAACTTAGTCTTGGGGTGAACCCAGGCTTGGGCGCCGTAGGACCTCTTCCCACGGCTCTCTGCTCCTACCAGGCTCTACAAAAACTGATCTACCGACAGGCAGCCCCATCAAGCACTGAAGCCGCAAGCTGGAGGGAACCAGCAACTTCTCACCAGACCCCACAGTCAGCCACTAGGGGTGCAGATGCCTGACTCCCGCCGGCCAACGCCGGGCTGAGGGGAAATTTATCTGGCCTCTTATCTTCTTTGGTTCTCAGCAACAGGCTCCTCAGAGCAGGGGGCATCCAGAGTGGAAGAACCCAGCCAAACCTGGGGTGCCCTCTGAGGTGGCACTTCTTTCATGAAAAGCAGATTGAGGTCAAGTCGTTTAGGAGGCCGCCTGGGCCTGGGGCTGCGACTCCTTTCCACGCCTCTGGCCGGCCTCCTTAAGCTTCGCGCAGCTCCTTGGGCTCTGCTGGTCCCAGGGCAATGTCTGCAGTCTTCCCCTTATCTTCCAGAGATTTCCTTCCTTCCGGGGAAGATCTTGTACCTCCCCAAATCGCTGGTCCTTCAAGTCACGAGAACCTGTATGGAACACCTTATGTAGGAAGGAAGAAGACCAGAAACAGAGAATGTTATGATATAGCAAAGGACAACTCATATTGGGAGGCATAAGACAGGAACAAGGCAGGCATAAAGAATTTGCTATTTGACTTGTCTGTTCCCCTTCCCCCAATTCCCCAGGGCTGTTCTCATCCCCCCCAATTCCCCAATAAAAAAAAATCTTAAAAAAAAAATTTGCTATTTGCCTCCGTTTTCCACTAAAATTATCCATTCCTGCATTGTGACATCCGGAGGCCCACCCAGCAGGTGCTATCCCGGCATCCTCCCAACCAGCAACCCACCGCCCCACAGGAGTCACCACAGTGGTCAGCAGCCTGGGATGGGGAAGACGCTACGCAGGAGACCTTGTATTGTCTTCTCAGCAACGGGGTGGGCAGGGATGTCCTGGGGGAGATCTACTCTTGAATGCCCATTAAAAACCCAGGATTATTTAGGAGTGGTCTCCCAGTGGGGTCAGTTACAAATTCAGTCACAAGCTCCCTGCCACGATGCCACCCCACTGTAGAATGTGATTGTTTCCAGTGAAAAGACAGCCACAGAGTGTAAATTAACAGGGAGAATCTGATCATTGAGGGGAGGTCCCCAGACCCCCAAGCACCCTAGCCCCTGAGAAAAAAAACAGGAGGACTCCTTGGGCAATAGGGCAAGCCTGCCAGACCAAGGCCAAGAGCCAGAGGCCTGCCCACTCCTGCCCTTGAAAGTCAACAGTGTTACAAAAAGCTCAGACGCTGGTTGACTGGGATCCAGGCCTCTGTCTTTATTTCTCCCCCCCCTGCTCTGGGCCCTGTGAGCTTGTCAGATAGGACAAGGGAGTTATCTCAGTTTGAAGAGAAACAGGGTAAAACTACTGGTTATTATGCACACATTTCAGTTCCCTAGGTTCGCCCTGTTCCCCAGGGTTACCAAGAGTTGGATATAGTGGAATTCTTAAAAAACAAAAAAAACAAAAGCACCAACTAAAAAAATAAAAAATAAAACTAAGCAACGTTAGCCAAAATGCACTTGCTCCCAAGCGCATGTCTCTAGCTAGAATGACCCCACTTTTCTTGCCTAAAGGAAAACCCAGGCCTTGATTCCATCGCCTTCCATTTCACCAGAATAGCTCTTACAAGTAAAAAAATAATGTTCAAGAGAATTTCCCGAGCTTAAATGAACAGGTCCTTAAGTATTCCAAACACACAAAATTAGTCAACACCAGTTTGGGAAAGGGTGAGCCAAACTGAAGGAACTGGCCCATGGGGATTGTTTTCTCTTTCTATCAACTCAAGCCACCAGGACTCCCTCTTGCCTCTCCTTTAACCCAGTCCTGTGGTTCTTTCAAAGACCCTTACTAGAGATCCAGGAGGAAACCTGTGAGCAGAGGACAGTCCACTGATCCTGTGCCAAGAAAGTTTCTGAGTCTGCTAACCTGCAAGGGGACTGGCAGGAACAGAAGCCAGTCTCTCACACCATTCCTCCCAGTTAAGAGACTTCGGATGGGCCTAAGGCCCTGGGATGAAAGAAACAAAATGCAACGAGGATGCCCTGACGAGGGGACACAAAAGACCTGTTTTACTATCCCCAAACCCAGGGAGGGGGAGAAGTAACTGGGTGGCCTCCCCCGCCTCTCCCCAACTCAGACTCAGCAAATGCGCTGCGCGCCAGGGCTCCCGCCCTCCGCCACCCACCCGCCCCAGACCTAACACGACTGACCTGCCTCTCGCTTGAGAGGAAGGGGGGCACCTGGCGAGTGGCAGCAGGGGCCCGTGGTCTCGGGGGGTGCAGGGTTCCCCCACTTCTCATCACTCCTCTTCCTCGGCAGTCCTCCTCGGCCCCTCGCGTGCCCCCCCACACCCCCAGCCAAGGCGAGCGTCCAGCCGCGACGCCCGGCTCGCTACATTTCGCCTCTGCGTTACAGCGAGGCCGCTGCTCTGCTTCCCCGAGGGGGAGGTGGCCGGGGAGGGCAGGATAAACCGCCTCGGGCCCGAGCGGGGGCGACTCGGTCGAGGGACTGTGGGGCCGAGCTCGCTCGCCCCCAATCGCTCGTGGCCCGCGGAGTCAGACTCGACTGGTTGGCTGCTAGTGGCAAACGTGATCTGGGGCAGAGTGGGTGGCACCCCCCCTCCATCAAAAATAGATTCTGGATGGACAACTGCGGCGGCCAATCGGGGACGGAGGAGGGGGCGGGCTTCGTCTCGTTCGGCCCTTTTCCTTCGCTTTGTGCCGGGAGGCGGGGCACCGGGGAAACGCAGTGCGCGGCGTGATGGGAACTGGGAACTGGCGGTCCCTTGGCGCGGCGATCGCGCGGGTCCCAGCGCCCCTCTGCCAGCGGCCGGGTTCCCGCTGCCCCGACGATCGACGTGCGGTACCATCTCCCTCGGGCCCGCCCGCCGCGCCTGGAGCCTCCCTCGCCCGCGAAAGGCTTGTGCGCCTGTGCGCGGCTGCTCTGGCATCTTGAGTTGTTTCCTAGAGCCTCTGGCCTTCGGGAAGACCGGGACACCTCCCTGTAGAGCCGGTGGGCTCCAGCAGCCATCCTGTGCGCTTTCCCCGCTTTCCATGCTCGAAAAGAACCGTCCCTACCTTGTACTTGGTCACGGCTCCTCTCCGGCTGTTTCGTCACTTCGCGCTTCCGCCAAATCCGGCGTTCCTCTAAGCTGATGGCTCAGTCCGGACGGAACCGGCCTTAATAAAGTCGCGGCCTTGAAAGGGGTGGGGATGGGCGGGTGGGAGGGAAATAGGTCAGACTCATGGCTGGGGCCCCAAACGCACCACCTGAGTTCAGGGCGGAGTGGAGCCTGGCTTCCTGTGACCCACAGATCCTGGAGGCAGCATGGGGAGAGATGTCTCCATCCCCGGCTAAACGAAATCCAACTTTCCCTGACGCACCTTGTGGGATCAAAGAGGGGTGTTCCCATCTCGCCTTTTGCCACTTCCTCCCTGGGGTATCTCCACCTCTCTAACGCAAACTCAGTACCAGTTCTCTTTGGGATGTTTTTGTACAGGGGGTGTGACCTCCCCCACAAAGGAACCGCCACCCTTAGGTTTTCCCCTCTTGCTAGTGGAACCTGTGACCAGTGGTTCCTTCCTGCCCTCTTCCTCCGTTAACGTGGCTCAGGGGGCATTGGAGCGTGACTCCTGACCACTGGAGTAGAGGTGTGCCCGGGGGTGGGNCCCAGGACCCTTCTCTGAGAATCAGGAAAGAAAGTGTGAGAGTTGTAGAAAGATTGACACTGATAAAAGAGAAGCAGAAGAGTGGGGTGAGGGGTGGGGGTGGGGGAAGAGAACACACAACCTAAGCAGGTAATTCCTTTGGAGAAGGACAAAGATTAGAAACATACAACTCGGCCCAAACCCTCCCATTTCCAGTATTTAGGGTTATTCCAACTCAGCTGCTGTGACATTTGCATCAAAGGCTTGCAGTCGCATGGGACCCAGTAGAAGAAATGTCAGTGTCTTAGTAGCTGCTGTACCAGAAAACATTGGGCTTCACCCCAAACGATCCATTTTTGAATAGGGGGTGTAGGGGAATTAAAGCTGACTTACCTGGAGACTTCAGTCACCGGTTGGGGACAATTCCTGCCTTGCTCCCTTCAGCAGTCCTCGCGCCCCTTTTCATCTAGTCACAGGTCAGCCACCTGTATGTAAAATCTTAATCTCCCTCCTATTCTTTTCCCACCTTCCTTTTTTTCCCAGCTGATAACAGTTCCCCTCTCCTGTGGGTTTTTTGTTTTGTTTTTTTATGAATCAAAGTATACTAGACATGGGAAAGTGCATAATGCCTTAGTGTACCAGTCAAGTTATGATACAGTGAACATACCCATATAACCACTATCCAGATCAAGAAATTCATTACTGGCACCCCAGAAGCCCTCCTCATGTGCCCTCCCAGTCACTACTCCACCCTCCTTCCCAAAGGTAACCTCTAACACCACAGATTAGTTTTGCCTGCTTTTGAACTTTATATAAATGAGACCATTTAGCAGGTATTAACTTTGTGCCTGACTTCTCTCAATATTATCTTTGTGAAATTCATGCATAACATTGTGGCTGCAGTAGCTCATTCACTTTCATTGCTGCACAGTATGCGATTAAATGAACATACCACAGTTATTTATCTGTTATTCTGTTGATGGGCCTTTGGGTTGTTCCCAGTTTGGGGTTCTTATGAATAATGCTGCTATAACAGTTTTGTGTCCTCTGGTACACTTATGTTCATATTTCTGTTGGATATATACCTAGAAACAGAATTACTGGGTCATAGAGTAGGCATATGTTTAAGTATTAGTAAATGCAACTAAATAATTTTCCAAAGTGCTTATGTTAATTTACACTTCTGCCAGTAGTATCTTAGCTCTCCAATTGCTCCACATCCTCGTTAACACTTGGTATTGACAATCTAAAAAGATTTAAAATTTTTAGCTATTTGGGTGGGTGTGTAGTAGTTTTTCATTGTGGTTTAAATGAGATAACCAATGAGCTGAAGCACCTTCTCCTGTATTTATTTGCTATTTGGATATCTGTTCAAGTATTTTGTCTATTTTGGGGAGACAATTTTTCTTAGGCTTTCTGTCTCATTGCTTTGTAGGAGTTCTTTATAACATATCTCAAATATGGGTCCTTTGTTGGTTATAGGTATTGCAAATATTTCTATGAACGTACAAGTACAGTAGACCTAGTTTTAGGGTCTTCTGAAGCCCGTGGGTCAGTGGTACAAGACCGTATGCTCCATGTCTATTTTGATCACTAGTATATTTCCAGCTCCTGGTGCTCAATAAATGTGTTGAATGAATGAGATGGATGAGACCCATCCAAGTAGTTTGCCATGTGTTGTTCTGATCCCTACGGTCAAACACCAAGAGGGGCTGGAGGAAGCAGATTTCCTCCCAGCCCAGACAGCTGTGACCTTGGGAAGGGGAAGACACCCAGCCCTTCCCTACTGAAAAGGCAGAAATAGCTACAGTCTGTGAAGAGAGAAGCATGGATGCAGGGAGCGGAGGTCACAAATGAAAAGACAGGAACTAGCAGCAGGTAGCAAGCCTGCCAGATGCTTCAGAAAGAGACTCATTTGGGGTGGAGGAAACTGTGGTGTCAAGGGACAGTGAGGGTAAGCATCACAGTGGATCTTTGTATGACAAGCCACTTCAAGTTCATGGAGGCCCTCTTCCTACTTCAAGACATGCCCTCTCTTAAAGCTTGTTAGCCAAAGAGTTCGTCTATCCTTAGAAATACTTTTCCATCTCTGAGGAAGATGCCTTTGGTTGCAGGGTTTTTTT